TTCAGGGTCCGGTAGGCTTTCATTTTCATTCAGTTTTGAGGCCGAGAACTTGCAGTTAGAAAGTCATCAGCTCACACCACGACTGGAAAGCTTGGTAGCCCCGTACCCCGGATACGTGCTCCTCAGGCAGCGTATTACCTTACTGAGGGTGACAAATAACCACCAAAAAGACTGCAACCGCCCCAAACGCTGACTTAAATTCTGAGAGGAAAAACCTGCAGAACAGATTGATGCTAGGTACAGAGATATTTAAGGCAATAAGCCACAATTATAAAGATTCTAGAGGAAAAACTTAAAGCAGCTACGTACGAAGCCTCTACAGTTTAAATAGCTGAAGTGCTTTTGCTCCATATGCTGACAGCTGATGATACCCAGCAAGTAATGGCAGCGGTAGTGTGAGGTGTCACTCAGCAAAGAATGATGTGGGAAAACCAGAAATAGTTTAAGTATAGTGCCGGACCCCAGTTTTTTGGTAGCAGAATGCTGTATTTTATTTTCTTCAGCCAATAGGTATTGACATTTTAAATTCCTCCTGAGGCAAGGAAATCTTTCTCTGCTAAACAGTTAAATAAGCTGGATAAAAATAGAACCTAAACTTTCTTTGGAGCAGCATTTGAGTCCAAAGGCACCACAGCGATTGTTTGGAATATACTGTATTTCACGCAAGTATGATGGAAAGTGTGTATTAAATTGTTAAATACAGGGCCCCTTCTTGTTTGCATAGATGAATAATTTCGCATTTATAAAAGAGGTTGGGTTGTTTGGTTTTTTTTTTTAATAGCAGAGCTTTGTCTGTACCAGGTCCTCAAGTTGCCTAGGTGTAGCAAGGTATAAAACACTTGGGGTTTATTAAATGTAAGTTGCAGGTACGAGGATTAGTTCTGTTTTGTAATACACATTATTGCATAGGTTCTAAACTGTCTTTAAATAATCAATAACCGGAGTGGACACAAAGGATCTTTTTACCTGGGCTTGATTAGGTACATTGGGCTGCTGAAGCCGTTAGGGATACACACGTAAAACACATTTCCTTGGGAAGAAGCTGTTCTGCAGGTGCCGGTGTTGGGAGGCGACAGCCAGCACTCCTTGCCTCGCTTAATGATTTTAACCGGTTCTCCTCAGGCTGCCGTGCATCACACTGGCTGGTTTTGGCTCTCGTCCTTATCCGTGCGCGGTGGCAGCATACACTTAACCAGACGCAGGGTCTGTGTGAGAGGCGATGGCTTGTTATTTTATTACCTCCTTCGCTGTTTGCCAAAGAGGGAGGCCAGGAGCCCGCCCGCACGGTTTGCACAGCGACTTCCCGGCAGGGAGCTCTTGCAGGGCGTCCGGCCGACACGGTTTGTGCGGAGGGAGTCATTTGGGGAAGGGGGTGGATTTTCACGGTGATGGAAGGAGGCAGAAGGAGGAGTGTTTGCTAACAACCCCTGACGAGATGTGAAGTTCTTCACTGGCACCGATTCTGCCGAGACGCATTTGAGCTGGTTTGTGAAGGGGGTATCTGCTCAGGCTGCAGAATTGAAATGCTGCGTGAGGTGTGACTTACCCACCTGGAAAGGGATGCGTGTGCTCAGAGCCGCCTTCACAGCTGATTTTAGTCCGGGGGTCAGCTGCGTGCCGTTCTTCTCGAACAGCTGTAACGTACTCGCTGTGGCCCGAACGCCCAGCGCTTTGCAGACAGAGCGATGCTCTGGGGAGGGACAGCAGAAAGGGCCTTCAGCGCCGTTGCCTCCCGGTGTTTTCCATATTGCAGAGGCTATGGCACACGGGAACGTTCAAGGCCCAAAAGGTCCTGCAGTTCATACCGCTGTTGCCCCACAAAGGAGGTCTCCAGGAGCGGCGTGCTCTGGAGGCTTTGCATACATTAGCTAATGTCCTTCCAGCAGTTCGCCGTTCCCTCGCCCTCAGTCAGTAAGGACGCTGCTCCCTCTTTGCCACCCCCACGGGCCCCCAACACACACCCAGGGTGTGCGACTAGCAGAGCACCGCGGGGTGCAGGGGATCGGGGCACCAGGCATTAGTCATTCCTGATTTGTTTGATTGCTTTTTTGTAAGGTCAAATGCACAGGCGTTACTGGGGACAAAAAAACCACATCGCTTTGTGTTGCCCACAGCTAGAGGCTTAGCGCTGTGTGACTGGTACAGCTGTAAACCTCGGAAATGTTATTCTAAATGGGTTTTTTACAGAATAATTCGAATAGATATGTCCTTAGCGATAGAGCACTGAAATGTAGAATGCGTAACGTGAGTGACTCTGCAGGAATAAATATAAACAAGACAAATTGTGTAGCTCCGTCAGAAAAACCCCAGCAGTGCTCAGCACATGATCCTTAATGTGCTTTGGTCAATATCTTTCTCTGTATCAATGGAAGCTCATTAAAAAAAGATATTGCAGACTAACTGAGCCACGCCGTATTAGTTCTTGCCAAAGCTTGACATTTTTAATACATTAATAATATGTCTGTAATGTAATGGAAAACTATTAATCAGAACTGGTTATATGCCAGAAATTTAAGCCATAATTGGCTGCTTCTTGTCAGGAATGTCTGTCGTACACTGCTACAGCTGCCTAATGCTCAGATGTCTTGCACTCCTCTGCACTTTTTCCTTGTCAGTGCACTAAATTCAATCGATGTTATAGTCTATAATTCTGTGTAACGACCATCATTATGACTCTGGCTTACTTTAATGAGAATTCGTTATATGGGAAGTATTTTAGCACAGTGTGTTAAGGTAGTGGCTTGCTTCACATTATTTTAGTCCTATCCAGTCCTGTTTATTAGTGGATCTGATTCTCAGCAGCTATAAAAGGTTACAGGTAACTGAAGAGCTAGCGAGGAAAATATTAAAGAAAACAAATCTACTTTTGCCTGAATATACAATATACAGGCTTATAGTCTAAGGATAATTAAACTGAGTAACTTCTTATTTCTACACAGAAACACGATATTCACCTACTGTTCATTCCAGCTATGACCAAGCCTTCTCCAATACAGAGTACATTTTGATTTGCCACAAATTTAAAATAATTTGGCTCCTTTTTTAGCAGAGCAGTTGTTTCCCTTTTGTATAATGACTGTTCGAAGCTATGGGGGTTTGGGGGTGTTTTTTTCCCTACAAAATAGTAAAATGCATTGGAAAGGACTAGAGGGAAAGAGCATGAGGTGTCTTTAGAATGACATGGAAAGTGTTCTCTGAATGACTGAATTCCAAGAGAATAAGTAAACATTCCCACTGAAAACAAAAAAGAATGTAAATTCACTAAAAAAGCAGTGGTACTACACAGTGTGCTTCTTAAAAAGATTTAATTTTAATTTGGTCTTAGATGTTTCCGCTTTTGTGTCAAATTCAGATTTGAAGCTTAAATATATTTTAACTAATTGAGAATTGTTATTGCATGAAAATTCAGGTATTCTCTGCATATTCTGATAAAGTATATGAGAGTTGTATGGTAACACTTGATAAAATGAATATAATGGAAAATTGCATTTACGTCCATACGGCAATTATTGTAAATTACTTTGCTATGGAAACACAATTCAACCATCTGTTGGCATTTCATAGTGTCTGTAGTTTAGCTCAGTTTAAGATGAAGCATTATTTAAATATAGGGAGGCCATTTGCGAATAGCTTTGAAGATAAGTTTTGAAAATGCGTATTACCAAAGCGACACGCTAAGGCGCTCACCAGGTCACGTACCACTTCCCGTGGCTCTGGGGTATAGGAGGGTTCGTGACACTGGGCATAATTTAAACCTGGGAACAAGCAAAGCGGGCTGCAGAAAGTGGTGACTTAACGGTTGTTTCTTAACATCTGTCTGACGGGTCTGCTTAGACGTTAACATCCAGACAGAAAGAGTGCAGAGGTGCTGCGGCGGCTGGCTGAAATCTTCCTCCTGCAGAGAGCCCAGCACCCAGGCTCCCCGTCCTCGGCTGGCACGGGCTGACACCAGGCACAGGCTGAGAGAAATAACTTGGGGTTCCTAACCTTGGTTTTCCTTGTCCATGTTCAGGGAACTTACTCCATCTTTGCAGTTTCCCTCGTGCATAATTTATATTTTTACCTGTGTTTTTTAGCAAATGTATATTTTAAGTCGTCGTAATGACATCCTAGGATTTTATACCTGTAATAATACGATTGAGGTGATACAAACCGAGGGAATTTCTAGTTGCTTTCTGAAGAGAGGAAAGGGGATATATCTGCTATGGAATAAACGCTGAGTACACAGGTACCTCCACCCCCAAACCTAGGAAAGTAAGACTGCCGCAACAGAGGGGGAAAGCATCCTTATAGTAAGCTACAAATGAACCATTATCTTTATCGGGTAGTTTATCAGCAGTGTGATCGGTAAATCACAGTTCAAAGGAAGAAAAAAAGGAGCAAAGCTCTTCCAATGCTAATGAGAAATTTCAAGGAAACAGAAGTGTGCTTGCAATATCTTTGTTACTCTTCCAAAAAAAAGATCTAACAAATGCATATAAGGCTTTTGGAGCTCGCTGAGGTTCCTCTTGCCAAGAGACTATCAGCACCTGGTAGCCCTGATACCCATCTCTGTGTCACTTTAATAAAAGAGCCTTCCTGCTGCTGCCCGCTCCGCTGCCTGCCTGCCTGCACGGTCTGGGCAATGGTTGCATTCGGTAGTTTCCTCTCTGGTTTTGCTAGGGTGAAAATACCGTTTTGGAAGCAGAAACCTGTAACTCACCTGGCACGTTATAAGTCTGTCTTTGTTAGAGAAGAGTTAAATCCTTCACGTCAAAACACTTTCCCTGTGAATGATTTTGGTAGTTTGTTCATTCTAGCACAGCACCACGGTAAAGGTTATCCATATTATACCAATTTGCTTTATATTGCATCAAACCTCCAAAATGTCAACATATCATATATTTTGTAATGCATTGATTCTTGGACAATAACTCTAACTCTCATTGTTTCTAAAAGGGTGCTGGTGCCAGAAGAAAAGAATGATTGATGGGAAGCAGACACCAGCCTGTAGACACTCATCCTTTTGCTTCGGATGCTGATTTATCAGTGCATCTGGGCATCCCCTGCGAGCCCTGAACAAGGAGGATCACTCAGGGTTATCGACAGCGTAGCTGAAGACCTGCAACTTCACAAATTATTATCTGCTATTGGACATCTTTTACAAGAAGCCCTGACAGACAAGTTATAAGACAAAGGACAAGCGCTGCGTTGCTGTGAAGGGCTGTCATCGGGGTCTGGGTGGCTTCTACCAAAGTCTTCAACTTAGTGAAACAAACACCCTATCCTAATGCTTCACGTTTGAGTTGGAACCTATTTTATAAAATATATACATGTATATGTACATATATGTATAATCTATAGACTGCACGTACACCAGTACTGAGCATCCTTAACGAAGGTGACATAAAAGGATTTAGAAATGTATTTGTCAAGATTCCTGTCACTTCACGCCCTCTGGGTTACCGTGTCCTCCGTGATGCAGCACTACCCTTCTGTGTGGGGACACTATGACGTGTGCAAGACTCAGATTTACACAGAAGAAGGAAAAGTATGGGATTACATGGCCTGCCAGCCAGAAGCCAGAGACATGATCAAATATGTAAAAGTGACTCTGGATCCCCCAGACATAACGTGTGGAGATCCTCCCGAGACTTTCTGTGCAATGGTAAGGCAAGCTTTTAATTTTGCATAATATATATTTGTGATAGATGGCTTCAGAATGGAAGCCCTATAGCGCGCCTGAAATTATCCAAGAAAATCTGCATCATATTCAGAATGTGAAAGGTTCTGCTGAACACAATGCTGAGCGGTACATTAAGCTGGGCAATGAGATGTTCTACTTATGGGGACCTAACTTGACTTTGTCTGAATTCGGTGTCTCTCTAGGTCAACTTTTAATGACTTAAAAGAAAGCAGCATAAAACTCCTAGTGCGCTAAGCCGTAATTGGGATGCGTTCGCCTGGATCATGAAAGACTTGAGTGAATTGGTTCCAGTACGATCACCTGAAAGCATCATAGCGTGGTATAATTCAGCGTCCTTTCCAAACGTGAGACCGTTGTTAGAAGCTCAAATTGCAGAAGCTTAAAAAGTGGTGGTGGGAGCTGGGCTGGTGGAGTTTTTCCGGCAAGCCCACGCAGCCGCGGGCAGCATTGCTGGAGCCTTGCTACCGCACACAGCGGGTGCATGCCAGCAGGTCCATGCCTGCGTGTATGGACAGTGCAGCAAGAAACACCCTCAGGTGGGGGCCAGCTCTACCAACTACCGACAGCTTTCTCCTTTAACTGAAGCTGTAGGCATTCAAGCCGACTAAAAGAGACCGAAGTCAAGCTCCTTCATTTAGATGCTCCTAAAATTAGAGACTAGTTTGGGAAATGTTGGGCTTGGTAAATAATTGTACAGGTGTGAGAAACCAGGCAGACACTATATATATATCAACCTTTTACAGCTGTGCTGCTCCTAAGTGTTTGATAGATCGTGCTGTAAGAGGTCACTTGAGTTAAAGGAAATCTTCAACTTGTAGGTAACTTGCTTCTCCTCACAGACACAGAGAATTCATTTTCTTTGCCACTGAATATTTCTGTTAAACATTGAGTGGAAAATACAGTATTCCTTGACTAGAAAATGTGAGTTTGAGATGCAAAACACATGTACTTAATCTACTAATAAAGCACTGGAAACGTACATCACATTACCCACATAATTTAGATTTGAAAAACCAATGAGTTCTGGTAAGTGAGGTTATCATAACTGAGAAAAGCCTACAAGATATTTGCCTGTGTACGAATCATCATTGCTGTGTGACAGCATCCCCACAGGAAGGAAATTTGCTTTTAAATGCCTTATAGTATCATTTTCAACCACTACTGTTCTGTAAGGAGTTCAGGTCCAACCACACACACGTTTAGGGCATTATGTGCACGCATGCAGCTGCTTCCCACGTACATTATGGTAATAGCCACATGATAAATTGCGGAGCTACGTGAATAAATTACATTCACTGTGAACCGTTGACTGCACCACTTGCTCTCTGCCCACTAATCCATCTCTACTGGCATGGCTTTGACACTCTAAACCTCCGAGCAGCTTCGAGCAGCCACTGTTTAAAAACAAGTAAAAGCAACGTGCGTAATATGGTCATCTTCTTTTTTCTTTATCTCGAAATGTATTTTCTGCCTCAGAGAAATCTCAGAATAGTAATAGCTGTGATTTAGCCCTCAATCAGTGACGTTTAGTAACTCATCATGTAGTGAATAAGAAAAGTTGTTCTTTTAATGCAAAAGAAACTGCCCAGCAAAACTTGTTTCTTCCTTTTAGTGCAGATAAACATTGCAGCAGTTCCCATCTTAAGTAATTTTTTAAGTTTCTGAATGCCTTGGTTATCAGTCTGCTCTCTAGCTAGAATAGTGATCTTCATTAAAAAAAAAAAAGACATTTTGATTAAATCCGAGTATTAAAAATGGTGCCAGAACTCCTGAAAACGTTTGACCTAGCAACGTCCTTGACGCTGTGGTGGGAGATGAAAGTTTGCTCAGGAGTCACCTGAGGCGACGGGTGTAGCTCACTCGCTGCTTAAGCCCTTGAGATGCAGAAGGTCGCCAGAATCCTGACACGAGGAGCAGAGAAAGAGGCAGAACTGGGGAGAGGGAGAGAGAGCACGCACAACGAGGGGGTGTATTTAGTGGTGTGCGTGTAGGGTGACTGACTCCTACATGATAAACTGTTGTATTTGCTTTCAGTATGGATGTATATTGTACATATACACTGTATTCACATCTGCATTGGTAATTGCTTGACTTACTTGAAGCATTAGGAAAATGACAGAAATATCTGACGTTCCTGAGACACTGCACAGCAGCAGAACACTCTCATCCCTAAAAATGCTTCATGTCTAGCTGTGCTATAGCTACATGTAGAAATTACACATTTCCTTCAAAACGAGGTTTTAGATATTTGTAGGCCTGAGCCTTTGGCATTGCCAAACTAGGAGATGTTTTATTTTTGTGTTCATTTTTAGTTTTAGAAAATGAGTTAAGAAGATAGCACTGTCATACTTGGAGAAAGTGAGCAGCAGAAAAGAGTGCATTCCTGTTAGGCATGGTCTTGCACTAAAATGTCCCAAATTTGAAATGACAGAGATCCAAAGGTTTCTTTTCAGCACGGTGACTTATACAAATGCTTGGGTTTATTGTTGTGTGTATTGGATATTTGTGTGCTAAACCTGTGTACCAGTGTTTTGTTTCTGAAATCAGGCTAACCCTCAGCTGCCTTCTGGTAGTTCCTTGGAGGAGTTCAGGGTCCTTTCAGACATCCTAACAATAAGCAAGGGTACCAAAGAGCTGAGCCTGCCTCTGCAGGGAGAGGAGGAGGCTGAAGCAGCCTCCTGTTTTGTTTCCATATCGGTTCTCCGACCAGGCTTAAGTAATTTTCTGTTCACCACAGACTATACGGACTAAGGCACTAGCTGTTGAGTCTGTGTCAGCTACCAGTGTAGTATAGATTATATCCCTGAAACACAGCCATACCGAGAGGTTCACCCAAGTCCTGCTGGGAGATTACCGTAAAATCTTAGGCAGTCTGTGAGAGGGAGATGATAATAGTCTGCAATAACGCACAATGCAATCGTGCATTGCAATGCACGCAAGCATACAATACAGAGGAGATGGGCAGTTAATGGTAAAATTTGCCTCCTACTTATTTCTGCATGTTCCCCATGGAATTAAGTGTTCTTACGAGTCCATTATGAATTTTTACTCGGTGAGCTTGTTTAGTTGACAGACCGAATAACGAGGTTTTGCACATGCAGATTTGTTGCAAAATGCAACACTCCTGTGGTTGGTAGCTAAACCCAGCACGTGGCAGCTCACCGCTTGGAAGTACCTTCGGGTCGTCCCTCCAGGACAGCGTCCATAGGTATTACAGGGAACATGCAGCAGGAAAACTATCCCACAATTGCTTTTATGCAATCTGTTCTGAGAATAACATTATAGTTTCTGGCGACATTCGGTATTGACAACTCGTGAGATTATTCTGAAACCTCAAACCCCTGGAGTCCTATGATTATGTGAGATTCTCAGGTTTCATTTAAAACATCTTTATTTTCTTAGTCCTGGTTGTAGAGAAAAGTTTGAAAATTAAAACTGAAAAGCTCAAAAAGCAGAAGCCAAATAAATAGCCCTCCAAATTATTACTTGTTTAAAATCTCATCATTTTTAAAGTCGCTCAGGATTTTTAGGGCTTGGGAAAGGATTTTGCTCGAGAGGAGAGACGCGTGAAAGAAACATAAACAGACGAATGGCTTAGAGCAGCGAATGCTCGCGGTTTCTGGCCGTGGAGTTGCTTGTGTCCGTAAGGAGGATGTGACCGCATCCTTCCCCAAGAGGTGGTACTCCTCCCGCCTGCGGGATAACCAGTCCCCTGCGGAGGGGGTTGACTGGTCACCTCCGGCTTCCCCTGTACGTTTTGAGCAGCTAGGGATTGCTTTAGAGTGAGGCACGCGTGCTGGCAGACAATGCACATCTGCTTTCTGTGGCATTCCTTCGAGGAAATTTGGCCGTCCTTTGTCAGTCTCAGAGTTGGACTGGACGGTCACGGCATTTGAGCCAGCGTGACCATTCCTGTGGGTCTGTAATTCATAAACTTTGAGCATTTGGCATTGGTAAGAGTGTGTCTGGCACCATACGCTTACGCTTAGCTGGCCTGGGGGGAGAGGGAAGGAGAAGAGACAAGAGGAAGAAGCTACTTCATGTTTTCAGAACTGCAGGATTCACTTCGCAGAGATACTGTAAGCAAATTTTTAAGTACCTGGGGGTGCTAGTCCTTGTGGCCTGCAGCATTTCAGTTTACAAATCTGCTTTAAATCCCTGGGAGTAACTAGCAGTTGGTGAAATTTTATTCTTCCCTCTTCGTAAGCACTTGTTACAATTTCACAAAACTCTGTCCAGTTATAAGAAGAAACAAATCTGACTTTTCATGACCGTCACCATCTTTTGCCCTACGAGAACAGTGCATAGGTGGCTGCTTTAGTCCTAAAACGTTTGCCGTCTGTGCCCCCGGTACGAGCATCGGCAGCCCCCGCGGTGGGGGTCCCTTCTCCCCAGAGTCACACCCGCCCCTCGCGTGGGCTGGCCCCTGTGCTGAAATCCAGCCCTTGAGCATGGGGTTTGCATTCAAACCTTAGCCAGGATTAGTGTGTAAATTCATCACGAACTTAATCAGGAGACTCCTAGTGGCTACTGCTGTAATTCGCAAACTGGAGATGAATTTACGTTGCCAACCTGCGTTTGCAGCTGAAATGGCAACGTGAAAATCTCCTTATGTTTAGACCTAGCTATCATAATGCCATCCCACATCCCAGTGGCTAAAAAATGATGAAATTATCGGCAATTATTGTTGCCTGCAGCTAATTTTCTTCGTCAGTTACACAGAAGCTTGAAAAGAAGCCTGCAGACGGGAGTCCTGTGCGTTTGTACAACTTACAGAGCAGAAATGCTGATGACAGTAGAAATTTGAGCCCTTGAGTGCTGCTCTGTATTTCATAGCCAATCAAAACTAAATTAAGAAACAAAGATTATTAAAAAGTCTTCTGTGCATGTAATTCTGGCATAATATTATGAGGTGGACATTAAATTTTTCCCTCTGAGACTTTCAGCATCATTAATATAGC